GTGGGGGGGCCCGGTCAGCCCCCACCAGCGCTCACTTTGGCCAAGGCTCAGGGCCCATCTGGCTGGATGACGTGAGCTGCGTCGGGACGGAAGATGCCCTTTCCCAGTGCAGATCCCGCCCGTGGGGTCAAAATAACTGCAACCATGGAGAAGATGCCAGTGTGGTGTGCTCAGGTAACACACAGTCATGCACAATGTCATCCTTAGACCATCTTCAGGCATGTGAAGGAAAAGGAGGTGATGAGGAGTAGTCAGCATGGATTCACCAAGGAGATGTTGCGTTTGACCAACCTCCTAGCTTTGTAGGATGGAATGACTTGTCTTGATGCATGAGAGGAGAGCTGTGGATGTTGTCTCCCTTGACTTCAGTAAGGCCTTTGATGCTGGACCCCCTATCATCCTGGTAGGGAAGCTCAAGAAGAGTGGATTAAATGAGTGTGTATTGAGGTGGGTTGAGAATTGGCTGGATGGCAGAGCTCAGAAGATTGTGATAAATGGGGCTGAGTCTCCCATTTGGGGGTTGTCCTGGAGAATATGCAGAGGAGCCATTGCCAGATCTGATTGTCTTGAGCCTAGACAAGAATTATTCCATGTGGTAACCCTGAGAATGTTTATTTTGGGGAATGGGAGGAGCTGGGAGAAGAGTGCAGGAATTTTATTTATGCTTTATTCCCTCTTTGTGTTTCCAGATCCGCGCTCCTCAAGTGCAGGAGACCTGCGGCTGGTGAATGGCCCACATCGCTGCTCCGGGAGAGTGGAGGTGCTTCATGACCACACGTGGGGCACCGTGTGCGATGACAGCTGGGATCTCAACGATGCCACCGTGGTGTGCCGGCAGCTTGGCTGTGGAGCAGTGATCTCAGCGCCCGGCCAGGCTTACTTCGGCCGAGGACAAGACCCTATTTGGCTGGATAGAGTGGCCTGCATAGGGACAGAAAGTTCCCTCTCGGAATGCTGGGCAAAGCCATGGGGCCTGCATAGTTGCTCTCATTCAGAAGATGCCAGCGTGGTGTGCTCAGGTGAGCTGTAGCTGTGGTGGGAGAGGTTGGAAGGCACGGGGGTGGCTCTAGAAGAGGATGGTGGAGGAGGGAACCATTCAGGAACACTAAAAACGGCACTTTTCCTCTTAAGGCAATCCCCATACAGATGCCCATAGAGTGTGTCCCAGAAATGCCTCTCCCCATTGACCATGGCCAGCAAATGTTATGATACAGCAGGACCCCAAGAGCAACCAAAGGACCTCGCACTCATTGCATGTGAGGGCATCTGCAATTTAGAGAGATAGAAAAACCTAGGACTTGCGGGTGCTGCTCAAACAAGTCACAGGAGATACTGTGCCCCATAGCATTGCTGGTTCATGGTCTCCCTACTCCATTTTGCAGTTCTTTCAGATTCAGACATGACAAATATGACCACCGTCCGGCTGATGAATGGCCCGCATCACTGTGCTGGGCGAGTAGAGGTGTTTCACAACCAGCAGTGGGGAACCGTGTGTGACGACGGCTGGGACTTGAATGATGCCACCGTGGTTTGCAGGCAGTTGGGCTGCGGGACGGCACTGTCAGCCTCAAAACAGGCTCTCTTTGGACAAGGGTCTGACCCCATCTGGCTGGACAGAGTCAGTTGCACCGGGACGGAGAATGCCCTCACGGAGTGCAAAGCCACACGCTGGGGCATCAGGAGCTGCAATCATCAAGAAGATGCTGGTGTTGTGTGCTCAGGTGATGCTCGCACCCACAGGCACGGCGATTCCGAGTAGCTGGGAATTGGAATGGGCTGGAATACCCCTCCAAAGGGCCCATTCCCCTCTGAACTGACCCTTACACCCTAATATCAGGACCTCTAGCTGTGGGAAGCAGATTTACTGTGCATGGAGCAGGGGTACTCCCCAATTGACAGGGGAACTTAGAAATTTAATCCCATTATCCCATCTCACATCCCCAATTGACAGAGGAATTTAGAAATTTAATCCCACTACCTCCCAATAAACCCCAAAGTACCTGAGCTGTCCTTTAAGTGGTTAAATAGGTAGGAGAAAAAAAAAAGGGAGGGGGGGCGGATTTTACTACCTATTTGTTATTTGACCTGCACTGAGGTTGTGTGGCACCTACAGGAGCCCAGGGCACAATAAGGCAAAAGCCACCAAAAAGGGATGTCTTCCTTTAGGAGAGCAAGTCAGGAGACTAAAAAAATAAGTGATTCATGCTTAAAAAGCCTTCAGGTGTCCTGCCTGTGCATAAATGCTGTCTCATGTACACCTATTTAGTGGAAATGTCCTGGTTAGGATCTGCATGCCCGAAGTTTGCACTTCAGTTGCTCCTCAGTAGGTCCTTGACCTTAGACCATGTGAGAAATCACCCGGGGTGCATCATTCTCTTGTACTAAAGACCATGGGAGAAATCACCCTGGGTGCATCATTCTATTGTACTGAACGTTGTACCACGTCCCTGTTGCAGACCCAAACGCTGCGGTGCAGGCGCAGGTCCGTCTGGTGAACGGCCCGAACCGCTGTGCCGGGAGAGTGGAGGTGCTTCACAACGGGCAGTGGGGAACGGTGTGCGACGACGGCTGGAAACTCAATAGCGCCATGGTGGTGTGCAGGCAGCTGGGCTGCGGGAGGGCTGACTCGGCCTTCACCGGCGCTCACTTTGGCCAAGGCTCAGGGCCCATCTGGTTGGATGACGTGACCTGCGTCGGGACGGAAGATGCCCTTTCCCAGTGCAGATCCCGCCCGTGGGGTCAAAATAACTGCAACCATGGAGAAGACGCCGGTGTGGTGTGCTCAGGTAACCCAGAGTCATGCACAATCTCATCCTAAGACCATCCTCAGGCATGTGAAGGAAAAGGAGGTGATGAGGAGTAGTCAGCATGGATTCAACAAGGAGAAGTTGCGTTTGACCAAACTGATAGCTTTGTAGGATGGGATGACTGTCTCAATGGATGAGAGGAGAGCTGTGGATGTTGTACCCCTTGATGTCAGCAAAGATTTTGACACCAGCCCCCCTATCATCCTCATAGGGAAGCTCAAGAAGAGCAGATTAGATGAGTGTGTAGTGAGGTGGGTTGAGAACTGGATGGATGGCAGTGCTTAGAAGATTGTCTGAGTCTAGTTGGATTCTCCCAAGAGTTTGACATGTGCCCAGTGCCGTTCAACTTGTTCATCAATGACTTGGACGAGGGCACAGAGTGCACCCTGAGCAAGGTAACCCTGTAGCGCGGGATGTCCCAGCCATTGCCACATCCGATCATCTCGGAAGAAATGTTGCCATGGAATGGTCCTGGGGAAGTCTGTTAAGGGAGGATGGAGAAAAGTGCAGGTTCCTTTTATTTAGACCAATTCCAGTCCCAGGCCAAGAGACAACCCACCCCATCTTGCAGGAGCAGAATGAGCTCAGTTCCAAGCTGACCTCAGTGCCAAGAAGAGGATACCAAGTATATAGGGGGCAACAAGGATATTCTGTTCACAACCAGTTCTCACTGCAACACGCCATGGAAATCTCACATGGCACTAAATGAAGCAAACTCAGGGTCTGGCTCTCCATTGAGCCACGGTTGTGTTGATGCTTGGAGCAGACTCATTCAGCTTCCTGACCATGTACTACCAAACAGATCATCACTGCCAGTGTTGACATTGCTCAGCTCACATGTTTGCGTGGAAGAGACACCAAGATTTTGGGTTATGAATCTGGAAGCAAATCCCATCTCTATAGCTAAGGAAGATGAGTTTGCGCTGCCATTCGGGGTGACCTAGAGAGAGCTGGGCAGAGAGGAACCTCATGAGGTTCAACAAGGACAAGTGCAGGGTCCTGCACATGGGCAGGAATAACCCCGGACACCAGTAGAGATTAGGGGTTGACCTGCTGGAAAGCAGCTCCATGGAGAAGGATTTGGGAGTCCTGGTTGACATCAAGTTAACCAAGGGGCAGCAATGTGCACTCGTGGCCAAGAGAGCCAATGGGATGCAATGGGATCCAATGGGATCCAATGGGATGCAATGGGATCCAATGGGCTCCTGGCTGCAGCAGGAGGAGCGTTGCCAGCAGGTGCAGGGTGGGGATCCTGCCCCTCTGCTCCGCTCTGAGGAGGCACCTGGAGCATCGGGGACAGTTCTGGACTCCCCAGGACAAGAGGGACCTGGAGCTGCTAGAGAGGGACCAGCGCAGGGCCACGAAGATGATGAAGGGACTGGAGCATCTATGGGATGAGGAAGGACGGAGCGAGCAGGGCCTGTCCAGCCTGGAGAAGAGAAGATTGAGAGGAGACTTGATCAACATATTCAAGTACCTGAGGGGTGAATGTAAAGAGGAAGGGGCCAAAGTCTTCTTGGTGATGTCCAGTGACAGGACAAGGGTTAACAGGGACAAGCTGAACCCCAGGAGGTTCCATCTCCATGTGAGGAAGAATCTCCAAACCCACCTGGATGCCACCCTGTGCCCCTGCTCCAGGTGTCCCTGCTGGAGCAGGGGTTGGACTGGATGACCCCTAGAGGTCCCTTCCAGCCTAAACCATTCTGGGATTCTGTGAGTTCCTTTGATAGGGTCACATGGTTGTACCCAGTGCCAGGGGAGCTTTAGGATACCTAAATTTGAGCTCTCGTTTCTGTTCTTGCGCTGTTGCCGGATAGCTCCACTGATCTTCTCCCATCCTAAGCAGAGGGTCTCGCGTTTCTCCTTGCAGACTCCAGCGCCGCGGCAGAACTGCAGATCCGCCTGGTGAAGGGCCCGCACCGCTGCGCTGGGCGAGTGGAGGTGCTTCACGACGACCAGTGGGGGACCGTGTGTGACGACAGCTGGGATTTAAGGAACGCCAAGGTGGTGTGCCGGCAGCTGGGCTGCGGGACGGCTGTATCGACACCCGCTGAGGCTCACTTTGGAAGAGGGTCTGACCCCATCTGGCTGGATGGGGTGGAGTGCACGGGCACCGAGGCCACTCTCTCCGAGTGCCACCTCAACACCTGGGGTGTCCACGACTGCAGCCATGAGGAAGACGCCGGAGTTGTGTGCTTAGGTAATGGTGGGAATGCTGACGTCGGAAGGGTGTTAGGGAACTGCAGAGACGTTAGGGAAAGTTAGGAAAGAGATCAACGTTGCCTCACGGCCATGGCACGGTGCTGGGTGCCTGCACAAGGGTGCTGATGGGAGCACACATGAGGTGCGGATACAGGAACGTCTGTGACATGAGAATTTACAGCATGAGATGAGGATTTCCAGGTGAGAATTGCCAGCAGATCCAGGGAAGGGATCCTGGGGAGGCACCTGGAGCATTGGGGGCAGTTCTGGGCTCCCCAGGGCAAGAGGGACCTGGAGCTGCTAGAGAGGAGCCAGCGCAGGGCCACGAAGATGATGAAGGGACTGGAGCATCTATGGGATGAGGAAGGACTGAGTGAGTGGGGCCTGTTTAGCCTGGAGAAGAGAAGATTGAGATGGGATCGGGTCAACATGTTCAAATACCTGAGGGGAGAGTGTAGGGAGGAAGGGGCCAAACTCTTCTCAGTAGTGGCCAGTGACAAGGGATAATGAGTGCAAGTTGAAAACCACGAGGTTCCATCCCCATGTGAGGAAGACCTTCTTTCCTGTGGTGGTGACAGAGCCCTGGCACAGGCTGCCCAGAGAGGCTGTGGAGTCTCCTCCTCTGGAGATCTCCAAACCCACGTGCCCCTGCTCTGGGTGTCCCTGCTGGAGCAGGGGTTGGACTGGATGATCCCTAGAGGTCCCTTCCCACCTCAACCATTCCGGGATTCTGGGATTCTCTGTGGGTGGAGACGCGATAGCAGTAGGTAGCATCGTCACTGGCAGGCTGCATGTGCATGCACGATATGCATGTGCAAGCACGATATGTGTGTGCATGCACAATGTGTGTGCCTGCATGATACGCGTGTGCATGCACGATGTGTGTGTGCATGCACGATATGTGTGTGCATGCATGATGTGCGGGTGCACGCACAATATGCATGTGCATGCATGATATGAGTGTGCATGCACATTGTGCGTGTGCATGCACGATATGCATGTGCAAGCATGATATGAGTGTGCATGCACGTGTGCGCCTGCATGATACACGTGTGCATGCACGATGTGTGTGTGCACACTCGATATGTGTGTGCACACACAGTGGGTGTGCATGCATGATATGCATGCGCATGCGTGATATGAGTGTGCATGAATGATGTGCGTGTGCATGCACAATGTGTGTGTGCATGCATATGTGTGCGCATGCACGATATTTGTGTGCATGCACGATATGCGTGTGCACGCACGATATGCGTGTGCATGCACGATATGCATGTCTCTGAATGATATGCACGTGCACGCACGATATGCATGCGCATGCATGATGTGCGTGTGCATGCACCATGCGCGTGTGCAGGCACGATATGCATGTGCCTGCATGAGCTGTGTGTGTGCATGCATGATGTGCATGTGCATGCACAATGTACGTGTGAATGCACAATATTTGTGTGCATGCACGATATGCGTGTGCAAGCAATGTGCGTGTGCATGCACGATATGAGTGTGCATAAGCAATGTGTGTGTGCAGGCATGATATGCATGTGCACACACAATGTGTGTGTGCATGTGCATGCACAATGTGTGTGCATGCATGATATACATGTGCACGCACTATATGCGTGTGCACACATGATGTGTGTGCACATGCATGATGTGTGTGTGCATGCGCCCTGTGCGTGTGCATGCACCGTGTGTGTGCATGCATGATATGCGTATGCACGTGTGCATGCACGATATGCGTGTCCATGCATAACATGCGTGTGCATGCACGACGTGCGCGTGCATCTGCCAAACCTTGGGCCAAGGAAGCCACTTCACCCCCTGCACCTTTTTCCCGTTGCAGACAACTACCCCTTGCAGCTGCGCGTGCAGGACGGCCCCGGCCGCTGCGCGGGGCGCGTGGAGGTGCTGCACAACGCGACGTGGCTCGGCGTGTGCGACAGCGGCTGGACCCTGCTGGAAGCAGACGTGGCCTGCAAGCAGCTGGGCTGCGGCCCCGCTCGCTCCGCGCCCGGCGGGGCTCATTTTGGCCAGCCGCAAGGCCTGGCGCTGCTGGAAGGGCTGAGGTGCACGGGCACCGAGTCGCTGCTCTTGGAGTGCCAGCAGAGCAAGGCGGGCCCGGCGCCCTGCAGACACGGCGCCGCGGCCGGCGTGGTGTGCGCCGACCCCAAAGGTGAGCCCTGGGGACGCCCGCAGCCCACATCCTGGCTGTTTTTGCTGAAAAAGTGGGATAATTGAGGATGCAATCGTGGAATGAAGGGAGGAGAGGGCAAAGCGCTTGCGGTTGCACGGTGGATGCAGCAATTCGGTGTCGAGCAGCTGCAGGATCCTCTTTGGAGGATCGCACAGCTCATGCGCAGCGGGGTGACAATACCCTTCAGCTTGATATCCTTGGGGGACTGAAACAGCTGCGAGAACTTTGCAACATTTAATCTTAAAAAAAACATTGTCTTCAAAAGTGGGAAAATATTTCCAGGGATGAAACACCATATGGCATACAATATACTTCTAAAAGACACCCCTAGGAGCTGGGAAATCTTACCAGTGATAGAGGGTCAGGAAAGGAGGTTCAAAGAGGTGAACAACCCCCAAATGCCCCTCTACGGAGTTAAATGCAAAGAATAACAGAACAGGGGGCTGTTTTGAAGGAAGACACTGAAGTTACGCTGGCAAGAGGGAAGGAGCAAACTGCAGGCATGGAGATCTGCAGTGAAAATGCTGCTTTTGGCATTAAGCGTGGCTTAAAGCACAGCTTTGCCCCAAGATTCATACGCACAGTGACCTGTCCAAGGTCCCCTCTCTTACGTTGCTGTGACATATGTTGGGCAGCACTTAAAGCCCTTCCCTTGGGGGTACGGCTTGTAGGTCTGGCTATGAAACAGGTCTCACCGCAAGGTTGAATTAAGTAAATCCCTTGGGAGCCACTGATGTGGAGGTAGGTTTTGGGGTTCGATTTTCCTGCTCGGAAAGGGGTTCAAAAGCATCACCCCGAGCCCTGCTCTCTCCGCAGACTCTCCCAAGTCCTGCTCCGTGCTCATTGCGCTGCTCGTCCTCACCATGATGCTCTCCGGGGTGCTGCTGTGGCTGGTGCTGAGGAGACGATGCGTTAGAAGAGCAGCCCAAGACTCAGGTGAGGGACCCCCCATCATTGAGCCCCGTTTTGCCTTTCGAGGTCCCCAAAACCCTAAATCATAGAATCATAGAATGCTTAAGGTTGGAAGGGACCTCTAGAGGTCATCTAGTCCAACCCCCCCTGCACACGCAGGGTCACCTAGAGCACGTGGCACAGGACTGCGTCCAAGCGGGTTTGGAAGATCTCCAGAGAAGGAGACCCCACAACATCTCTGGGCACCCTTTGACAG